CATGAGACAAAGTATATGTGAACTGCTGTATGAAAAGTGAATTTACTCTGTAAATCTTCACCCAAATCAAAATAAAACTTAAAAAAAAAAAGAACTTTCTGTTTGCAGTCTCTCCATACATGACCTCATTAGTTCCTTACGTTAGTCCCATGAGGTAGCAAGCTGTATGGTCCCAATTTTATAGTTGAGAACAAAGACCAAGAGTAGGGAAGATGCTCGCCTGAGGTCCCCCTGGGAGGAAGAGGTGAAACTGGCAGAGTCAGGTCTTATCTACAGGGCACGTTGTTGTTAGATGGCGTGAGTCAGCCCCAACACATCACGACCCTACGGACAACAGAAAGAAACACTGCCCAGTCCTGTGCCAGCCTCACGATCCTTGCTGTACCTGAGCCCATTGTTCCAGCCACTTGTCAATCCATCTCATTGAAGGCCTTCCCCTTTTTTGCTGACCTTCCACTTTACCAAGCATGTGGCATGTGGATCCTCAAAAGACTCAGTGCATTCCTTCTGTGTACCAGGCACTGGTCTAGGTGCTACCTGGGGAGTCAGAAGTGAGCAAAGGTTTTAACAGTTGAATCCAGGCTCTTTGGCAAATGTTTCATTCCAGCTGCAGTTCCTGAGAGCAGACCCCAGCCAACCTGCCAGGCTGAACAGGGTCCTGAAGGTCACAGCCTCTAGCAGAGGAAAGAAAAGTTCATTACTCATCCAGTGAAAAGAGTGGGTCTAAAGAGCAGGAGCTGGGAGAAGGAAGAGGATCAGATTCAAAGGTTTGAATAACCTCCTGCCTGTGCCTGATCCCTCAGGGTCTTGAGTCAGGCTCAGGGCCAAGCAAGAAAAGAGTTCGCAGAGGTGGGGTCTCCAGAGAGAAGGCACAGGAGTGGGTGCCAAGGATTACCCTCTGGGGCCCACCTGGTCTAAGTGCCTCAGCACACGCTGAACACTGAGGGGGCCTGGCCTTGATATTTCTTGTGGACTGTCTTGAGGATGGGGATGAGGTTCTGGAAGGTTGGGCGGAAGGAGGCGTCTGCCTCCCAGCAGTTCTTCATGAGGTGATACACCTGGGGAAGGAAAAACAGGACTGTGGGCTCTGCCCTCTCCACAACCTGACGGTGGGGACAGGGTGACCAAGGGAAGCAGGGGGGTCTCACCTCACAGGGACACGCCTCTGGCCGTGGCAGCCTCACCCCTCGCTCTAGCAACTCAGTGAGCTTCAGCACTGTCATCTGGCCCTGGGTGAAGCCTATGAGCTCGATGAATTTCTAAGGAAGACACCAGACAAGCTCTTTCAAAGAGGCAGTGCTGCCTAGTGGTCAAGAGCTCACATGCTAGAGCTGGGCTGCACGGTTCTAGACCCACTTCTACCACTGCTCAGCTGCATGACCTTGAACTCAGGACTTCACATCACAGGGCCTCAGTTTTCTCATCTATAAAATGAGGTGATGACAACCTCTACTGCCTGAAATTATTGTGAAAATCAGATAAACTAACAGTCATGAAATAAATACAAATAGTGTGCGCTGTTACTAGTAATTCTCATAGCATGTTGTTTATGCCCGCACAGAATCTTTCCCACAAACCCACCCACTGCCGTGGAGTCAGATCCGATTCACAGCGACCTCTCCTTGAGTTTCCCAGGCAGTATAGTGCTTAAGGCACTTGACTGCTAACCAGAAGGCTAGCGGTTCAAACCCACCAGCCACTCATCAGAAGGAAGATGGGGCAATCTACTTCCGTAGTGATACTGCTTTGGAAACCCAAGGAGGGGTCGCTATGAGTCGGGAACGACTTGACAGCACATAACAACATCACTATGGAAGTAGATTGCCCAACCTTCCTTCCCAGGAGTGGCTGGTGGGTTTGAACTGCCAGCCTAGTGGATAGCAACCAAATGCTTTAGGCATTGCTTTTGGGCTAAACTCTTAATATTCTTGGCTCCACCCCCAGGGACACAGGGACAACATGCTCTGTAGGCTTGTGGCAGTGGTCTGCAGCTACACATTGTTTGGCTCTGTGGTAGGCACAAGAGCCAAGGTGGACCAATCAGAGAGGATTCTTAGAATTTTGCTGGAGACCAGGGCTCCTAAGTTCCCTCAGCTGGAGGACCAGGCTACCTTTGCCACAACAGAGGGAGAGTCTGCACAAGCGGGGTGTTCCCAGAGAGAACAAAGAGAAGCGGACTCCTGAGGATAACAGCCTAGCTCAAGGCTGCCCCCCCTCTACCCCTGGAGTTTGCAAATATGTAGCAGGATTGGCCTTTCCTATTTTGCCTGAATCCGATTCTGAGTGGTGTTTCTGTCCCTCAACACAAAAAGCTCTCTGCCCTATAACAGGCCAATATTAGAGACCAGGACCCTGAGGCTCAGACAGGTTACAGCCACTTGTGGAGTGGGGGTGGGGCCTGGTTCTCACCGAAGGGGGGCTCTGGCTAGGGTCACAGCGGGTCAGCAGCTCATACAGGGTGACCCCGAAGGACCAGACATCAGATGCATAGTAGAACTTGCACTCCTTCAGGCACTCAGGGGCATACCTGGGGGGAGGGGTGCACTCAGGCCTGGAGCCAGACCCAGATGCAGCGGTCAGACCAGGCTCCAGCCTTCACCTAGGACTGAGGTACCCCTCTGGCCCCTGCTGGGGCCCCACCCCAGAGAGAGACGCAGTTTCATCGGGACCAACATCTGTCTCCTCCACCCTCCTCCAGGTGATCCTAGCATCATCCCCCACCGCCCCGCCTGGTCACCAGAACACGGGGCTGTCCCCATCTTCGCGGACGCGGTAGTACTCGTGGCCTTCAGGCACGGCCTTGGCCAAGCCAAAGTCCCCAATCTTGACCAGCCTGTCGTTATCCAGCAGCACGTTACGTGTAGCCAAGTCTCGGTGGATGTAGTGCTGCGCATGCAGATAGGCCATGCCCTGGGGGCGGAGCGAGTCTCATCAGTGGGGAGCGGCTGCGCTGGGAACTAACGAGGAGGGTTGGGGGCGGGCCCGAGGTAGGGATGCTGAGCCTGGGTGAGCAAATTGGGAGGGACTAAACCTGCTGGGTGTGGCCAAGTTGGCGAGGCGGGCCCTGGCTCAAGGAAACAAGACTTGCTGGGGACGTGGCCAAGTGAAAGGGCCAAAGGGTCAGCCCAAGAAGCAGGAAAGAGCAGGAACAGGGTGGGCACACCTCGCAGATCTGCTGAGCGAAGAGCAGCAGCTGGGCCAGCCCCACGCTGTGCCGGGGCAGGTAGTCTCGGAGGCTACCTAGTGGTACGTACTCCATGACCAGCTGCACTGACTTCACGCCTGTCAGAAAGATTCGCCCGTCGGGGCAAGTATTGGAGGCGCCGCCCCGCCCACCCGAACTCTGCAGCGCCAATTCTGGGATCCCAGGCGCCGCCGAGGCGTGTGGGGCAAGCCAAGTCCGGCCCACACCTGGGACGCGCCTGCTGGCTCTGCCCACCCCCGACCCCACCCCTAGGCGCCCTTACAGCCCAACTGGCCCATCCCACTCAGGCTCCAGCAGCCTTGGCCCTCTGGGTGGGAAGGAGGCAGCCCGCCCCGCCCGTCATGGCACAGCCTGTAGTTGGGCGGCCCCAATTGGCCAGGCCAGCCCTGCCGGCCCGCCCACCTGGATCCTCACAGCAGCCCTTGTACTTGACTATGTGCTCGTGGTAGAGCGTGCGCAGAATATCGATCTCGCGCCTCCAGCCCGAGTGGAGCTGGGGGCTGCAGCCTGTCTTGAGCGCCTTCACTGCCACCATCTCGCCAGTGCCGTCATTGGTCGGGTCATAGCAGTACAAGCTGACCTTGCCGAAGTGACCCTGCCAGAGTGCACAGAAGGGTCAAAGCCATCCAGAGTAGCCCCACCCCTGCCTCCCAAAACCCAACCCACCACAGGTATGTTTTAGATTGGCAATATCTACTTCCCTAGTGTTACTGCCTCAGAAAGCCAAGGAGGAAGGCAGTGAGGTTTTTTTTTTTTTTTTTTTTTTTTAAGCTTCTGCTTAAAAAGTGCTCTGGTGGTACAGTGGTTAAGGCACTTGGCTGCTAACCAAAAGGCAGATGATTCAAACCCATCAGCCGTTTCACAGGAAAAAGATGAAGCAGTCTGCTTCCAAAAAGATTTACATCCTTGGAAATACTTCGTTGTTGTTGTTATGTGCCGTCGAGTCGGCCCCGACTCATAGCGACCCCTCCTTGGGTTTCCGAGGCAGTATCACTACGGAAGTAGGATTGCCCAACCTTCCTTCCGAGGAGTGGCTGGTGGGTTTGAACCACCAGCCTTCTGGTTAGCAGTCAAGTGCTTTAGGGTGGTTTAAGGTCCTATATAGGAGCTCTGGTGGCGTAGAGCCTAAGGCACTTGACTGGTAACTAGAAGGCTGGCAGTTCAAACCCACCAGCCACTCCTCAGAAGGCTGGGCAAATTATTTCCGTAGTGATACTGCCTCGGAAACCCAAGAAGGGGTCACTATGAGTCAGGTCTGACTCCACCGCACATAGTAACAACAACAAGGTCCCATATTGTCTTTATGACTTGGAATCTATTTGACAGTTCCTCCCAATAGGTCCCACCTACATACGTTATGGGCTTCTTGGGACCTAGCCACCCCTGGAAGCTGAGACCAGACCCTTCTAGGCCAAGCCCTGCCCACACATCACCAGTTCCCACCTGCAACTTCTGAGAACCTCTCCAGGCAGGACTTTCCTCAGCTAAGCACCAAACTCCTCCCCCACCAGGCAGCCTTCTCGAAGCTCAGGCCTGCCCCGGGCTCGCAGGCCTAGCCCTCACCTCGCCCAGATCCCGGATTTTTTTCAAATAGCGCTTGTGGAAAACGGTGGGGTCTGCCGCTGGGGAGTCCGGGCTCACAGCCGAGACGTTAACAAGATCTGGAAGGGCCGCAGAGGGTGAGGCCAGGCCCAGCAGGACCCCTTTTGTGAGGGCACAAGAAGTGGGCAACTGCTCCCCCCAGCATCCCATCCCAGATGGTAAAGCAACTCCCCCCCAAGATCTGGAAAATTCCATCCCCTATCCACATGCACATGGTCAGCTGCACCAAAACTTACACCTGGGGTGTTCTGAGATTGGGTAACGCCACAAACTTTTCATCAAGACAAAAAAGAACAAAAACAGAGTATCCAATTCCTCCAAAGAAGTTGTCTCCCTCCAAGCAAAACATTGGCAGCAGCGGCTGGTTCTTGAGTGACTTAGCAAAGGGCGTGAACCCCTTGAGTTGGGACTGTGCTGGCCTCAGCAGGGGTCCCAGCCTTGCCCCCCCCAGGGCCCCAGAGCTGGGGTGGGGCTCACTCTGGGGCTGCAGCCGAGTGAGGTCCCGCAGGATGGTGCGGAAGGATGGCCGCTGGGCTGGCTCGTAGGTCAGGCACTGGCTGGTGAGGGTGGCCAACTCTGGGCAGGAGGGCTCGGGCAGCTGATGCTGCTTCTGGTAGAAACGCTCTTTCTGTGGGGGAGTGGACCCTCAGGCGTCTGCCCTGGGGCCCCTTCCCTACAGGGCAGAGTCAACCCCCAGAGCAGCAGGGCTGGACTGCCAGGCCCATGCCTTTGTTATTCTCATTCTACATGAGGCTAAGGAGGCTCTGGGCAGTTAGCAGAGGACTTGCCCATGACTGCAAAGCCAAGACTCAAACCCAAGTCCAGCTGGCTCTCTCCTCTACCTCTGTTCCTGGCCCTTCATCCCCCTGCCCCCAGGAAGCCCCTGAAAACTGCAGCTCCCGGGGTACCCCATAGCCTCTGCCTAGGCTAGCCCTCCACAGGGGAATTCTGAACTGCCATGACCTCTCTGGCAGCCTCAGCAGCCTCCCGTCAGAGCTCTGGCTACTCTAGCACTGCAGCCTGTCCTTGGCTGGCTTTCTGGGCACCAGGCCCTGTTCCTGAGTCCCACAACCACCTTGTGAGGTCAGGACGACAGTTATCTCCAGTTGATAGAGGACTAAGTGGCACCCGAGGAGCTCTGGTGGAATAGTGGGTAAGGCATTTGGCTGTTAACCAGTAGTTTGGTGGTTCAAACTTAGTAGCTGCTCTGTAGTAGGAAGATGAGGCAATCTATTTCTGTATAGATTTACACTCTTGGAAACTCAGTGGGGCTCTCTACGAGTTGGAAATCGACTCAATGGCAGTGGGTTTTTTAACTGAGGCCCAGAGGCCACACAGCAAGAGGACTCTACCCTCTTGACTCTTCACAGGGACCAGGCCTTCTCTGTGGGGAGGGCAGGGGTCCCCTGGACATACCTCAGAGAGGCTGCGGCCCTGCAGGGGGGCATCGCCGTCAAAGCAGATCTCCAAGAGGGTGGCACCAAAGCCCCACTTGTCGGCCGCGGTGCTCAGGCTGTTGGCCCCCCCAGACAGGCATTCAGGAGCCATCCAGGGGATCCACTCCACCCGCTCTGGGGGTCAGGGTCAGAAGTCACCAAGGGTGAGGAGTGTGGAGGAAGCCTGCCCCTGTGCCCAGCCCCACCCAGATCCTTACCCTCCCTAGAGAGGGTAGCTAGGCCCACGCCTGGGTCACTCAGCTTGATGAAGGGGCTGGTGCCCTCTGCTAGGCCTGGCCGAGCCAGGAGGATATTCCGGCCACACACGTTGCCATGTACCAGATGCTTGTCCTCCTGGGATGGGTAGAAGGGGGGCATGGTCACTGGTGTATATGTGTGTGTGCAAACCCCACTTCCAGTCCCCATCCCATGCGGCCCCCACAGGGACAGCTGAGGGGGACAAAGACATGCACTGTCATTATTGGAATACCAATACATTGTCATTGTGACTGAGGAGCATTGGGTACAGAGCTGGTGGCCAAGGCTCTTGGCTGGGGACAAAAGGCCGGAGGACCTCACTGCTATCCTCAAACCCATGCCAGGTGGCCCTTTCCTCAAGGCCTCTGCCCTGGCTGTTCCCTTTTCCCCCAGTGCCCTCAAACCACCCTGAAGGGTCCTTCCCTACCTGCCTAAAACTGCAACTTTTCCCTAAACTGGAGCGACTCCTTGTCGCCTCCCAGTCTTTATCATAGTTCTCACAACTTTCTGACATCTTATGTAACATACTATCTTGTAGGTCTCTCTTCAACTAAGATGCTGGCTCCTCAGGACAATGATTTCTGTTTTGTTGCCTATTATGTCTCAGGGCCTGGACAAGGCCTGGTTCTCCCTGGGGCTGCTTAGTAAACACAGCTGGGAAGCAAGTGACTGAGCAGGAAGTGGGGGGGAGGGGATGAATGGCAAGAGAGAGCTCCACAGGGCCCAGGACGCCAGGCTGACTGAGGTTTTTTTTCTCATGAAGCTGATGGGAGCTACGGGGTGCCTGAGGAGGTTTGTAGACATGGCTGGGTACTGGAAAGATCTCCCAGGGCCAGTGTGTGGACTGAGGCGTCCCCACCCCAGCACTAAGGTCGCCCTGGCCCCCTCCTGTCAACCCGAGCCTGCCCACAGGCCACACACCAGGTAGCTGAGGGCGCTGGCCAGCTGCTGGGCCACTGCCACCTTCCAGGCCACAGGCACGTGGCCCCTCTCCCGCCGCAGCCACACATCCAGGGGCCCGTGCTCCACGTATTCCGTCACCAGGATGTCTGCAAAGGCCCAGACGCTCTAGGGGCTGGCTGCCCACTGGCACCCACCCTCCAGGGCAGGAGAGGGGGCTGTAGGCTGGGACTATGTGGGGAGGGTGTTGGGGTCTGGAAGAGGTGAAGTGTAAGTGGTAAAGGTGAAACTAGAACTGGGACCAGTGTAGACAGGTGGAGGCACAGAGGGTGAGGGTCGGGTAAGTGATGTGGTTGGGAGTGTTTGGGTCAGGGATAGACCATGTTGGGGTGGAAATGAGGAGACACATACACATGAACTTGTATTGGCGAGGCTGGGAGCTGGATGGGTCCAGGGGTCTGAGGGATATACGTAGAGTAGAGGTGGGGGGGCTCTGAGCAGGGTTGAATCACAGGGCTGAGGTCTGGGGGAGGGGCGTCTCACAGTGTCACAGTGCTAATGGAGTCAGAGGGAAGATGGCTGCTGGGTTATAGAGGGGTTTGGGTGGTAGATGGAGATTGAAATGGAGTCAGGAGTCAAGGTGTAGCTAGGGGTCCAGGCAGAGGTAAGGGTTAGGGTACAGGGAAGGGGTGGGGTGCAGGTAAGGATCAAAGGGTATAGTCAAGAGACTGGGATCTAATTGGAGTGTTAAAGTGTAGCCAGGGAAAGGGGTGCAGGTTGAAGGTTGGGGTATAGTCAGGGAAAGTGTGCAGGTGAGGGTTGGCGAGTATTCAGGGGACGGGGGACGGGCCAGGGACTGGGTATAAGTGGGGTAGGGGGCACTCACTCTCAGAGCCGTGCACACAGACACCGTGCACAAAGGCCAGGTGCATGTGGGAGACCTTGCTCATTAGGCTGGCTATCTCATAGAAGGCCTGTGGGGACACAGCAGGTCAGGTGGCTGCAAACCCTACCTCAGTCTACAAATAGCAGGGCCCGACCCCTCACTCACCAGGGCGATGTCATGGTGACTGGGGTCTAGCACCTTGAGCACCACTCGCAGCTCCTGCCCACAGCCCCAGCTGGGCGCAGACGGGTCCCCACTATCCTCTTTGTCCTCCTCAGGGGCCCCGCCCACCACACGCAGGAGGCCCTCATACACGTTGGTCCTTGTGCCCTGGCCCAAGTGGGACAGCTAGGAGGAGCACAGTAGACACCGTCATGCTGACGGTGAGCCACTGGGCTGCCCAGCACCCCCCACGCACCCAGGTGCAGGGGCACCCGCACACACACGCACCTGGGTGATCTCGTCTCGGCGGATCTGGTGAAAGCTGAGCTGGCTGAGGTTGAAGGTGGGGCTGGCCCGAGGTCCCCGCGTGATGATGAGGTTGGAGAGCTCTGGGGGCAGAGGCTGAGTCACCGAGGGCCCCTGTGGCGGGAGATCCCAGCTCTACCCTGTGGCTTCCCTGGGTACCTCCTGGCTGCGGCAGGCAGCAATGGCGCAGGGAGAAGCAGTCATCTCCGATGCGCAGCGAGCAGCCCTGCAGCGCGGCCCGCAGGGCCCCCACGCTGGGGAAGGACTGGCCCCAGCCTTCCAGCGTGAAGGTCTCAGCCTGCTGCTCAATGGTGAACTTCCGTAGGCGCAAGCTCTTCGAGGTGGAAGCCTGGGGGTGGCGGAGGTGGCAGTGAGCAGGGCTCCAGGCAGGGAATGTATGTACCCTAGCCCAGGGCCTGCCCAGGCCCACCTGGTCACGCTGAGCCACTGTGAGGATGAGGCGGTAGAGGTGGCTGGTGCTCCAGCGAATAAGGTAGCGACCGTCTTCAGGCTGGAGCTTGGCCAACACAAATGGATCCCTGGGGGGGGGGGGGCACAAAGTGGCACTGTCAGGCCCCCAGGGCTATTGCTGTACCTATACCTGGCAAGTGGAACACACAGGAACTGCCCAGAGGGGCACCTACTGAGCTGGGACAAATGTCAGACACAACTGCTCATATGGTGACACTAGGCACCTCCCCAGACATAACTGTCACAGACACAACCACTCACAGACAGACACAGGCACGTGAACAGACAGATGCCTGAGCTAACAACAGTCAAGAGACAGCCCCTCACATAGTGACACACTGAGCCGGAAAAACAGCCATTGGACCCAGTCATTTACATAGAGACACAGATGCTGGACACACACTGAGCCAGCCACACTTAGGGTGGCATACCGTCAGTCGTCAGTCATACACCCAGAGGACAATCACCCCAGATACAGCCGCTTACACAGCATAGCATGGCCACATCGCAGGATTGCTATCACAGACCCAGAGATGACAACTGTCACAAAGACAAACGGGCACATACAAGACGAGAGCCCCACGGGTTTAGATAGTTACACACACAGTGGCTCAGACACCAATGTGGCCCCCAGACACCTGTCCCAGTGACACACAAAGTGAAAGGGCACATCACCCTCCCCCCGGTGTAGTATTAGGGTCAGAGGCCTCCTTACACACCTGCAGAGGCTGAATCCCAGTATCCCAGGCAGGAGAAGAGACACTCAGGCACAGGCCAACAACCAGACACGGTGACTGTTACAAATTCTGACCCAGTGTCACACAGGGCAGCCACGTGCACCTGAAGACCATGCAAGTCACAGAGTAGCTTGGAGATAACACACAAATTGCCAAGGAAGACACACGCCCCACGGAAGACACACCAGCACATCATCTTAGTACCCACACACACTTGCCCAGCCACTGGCATTTGTGCTACACAGTCTCCAAAAATCACCCATCCTGTACTATGCAAAAACATGCTATGACAATCTTAGCCAGCCACATGAGTAGTGTTAGACTGAACCATCCTCTCAAAATATGCTCTGGAATCCTGTCCTCTGTACCTGGAAATGTGGTCCTGTTTGCAAACAGGGATTTTCTGGGTATGTTAATTTGATCATACTGAGTAAGGTGTGTCCTAAATGGAATCACTTCTCAGATAAACAGAGTGGACACAGGGACACACAAGAGACAGCTACCATATGAGGACAAGCCAAGGACCCAAGGAAGACCTGGGGCTACTGAGGAAGGAATCAACATGACCAACACCCTGATTTAGACCTTTAACTTCTAGAACTGTGAGAAAATAATATTTTGTTCTTTAAAGCACCCACTTGCGGGATTTCTGTTACAGCAGCATGAGGCAGCTATAAAAAACAGCTGTTAACACATCTGGTCATGCACAATGACAGTCCCAAACACACAATGTCAGGATGGCACAACTGTCTATACTCTCTCCCCCCGAACTCTGCCTGGGGTGTGCACATGCCCACACTCACATGTATGTGCACATATTTACTCACGTGCACATCAGTGTACACACACATGCACTCACATGTACATGCACACAACCTATGTCCACTCATGCACGCGCATACACACATGTACAGCATACACAAGCATTCACACACAGGTGTGAGCATGCACACACACAAACATACTCAGATGCATATGCACACAGGCACACTCAAGCACACACGCACATACGTGTGCATGCACCACGTTCAATTCATGCAGTCCCTACAGCTCAGTCGAGTTGGCAGCCAGGGTGGCAGCAGCCCAGCCTGCACTCACAGCAGGGGTCCATGGATGCCATCCTGGATGCTCATCACCAGCCGTGGGGGCGCCACCTCGTGGCACAGATAGTGGCTGGAGTCTACTGTCAGGCGGAAGTAGCCATCCACCAACGATACCAAGGACAGGGCTGTGCCCCGGGAAGGCAGAGTCAGCTCCTGCAGGCAGGGGGCTTGTCAGGCGGGTGTCCCAGCCCCCGGCTGGCCCAGCCTGGCCCCAGCCCCCGGCCCCACCAGGCACTTGTTGTCCTGTCGGTGGATGCTGACGCAGTGCTCTTTCACCACCAGGTGGCTGATGTCCTGGAAGTCACAGAAGGAGGCCCAGGGCAGCCCCTTCCGCCTGCTGGCTTGCTGTTTGCCCACCTCCTGAGCCTGGGCTTTCCTTCTGGAAGGGCTGGCTTGAGGATTCCTGCTGCCACTGCTGCTGCCACCAGAACACTGGAAACCCAGCACGTAGGTGGCTGGATGAAGCGAGCCCTGCCCCCACTCTCTCCAGGGGACAGGTGGGAGCCGAGGCCCAGGGGACCTTCTCAGGCATCTCCCTACTGACTAAGCCCCAGCAGCTCAGGCACGACAGGGGACCCACCCCCAGAAGATGCACATTCCAGAAGCCAGAACCTTAGGGAGGGCAGAGGGAATCCCAACTCCCTTCCTCCCAGATGCCTGATCCCTAGAGCCACAGACAAAAGGACTTTCCAGGGGCATAAACCCCAGAAGTCAGATCTAAGAAACAGACCCCAGGGAGCAGACAGACATACCCCCAGAAACCAGGTCCCGGGAGCCATGTGGGAAGGACAGCCACACACACAAACACTTGTGTGCTCACACACATACAGGCACGTGTGCCATGAGGGGCAGGAGAGCCCGCCCCTGCCCTAACTGGACCCCCTGTGTGGTGAAGGAGGCAGTGCCCTGCTCACCTCTGCCTGCACTGGCCGCCACTGGATGCCCCCGGTGCCTGTCACCAGCACCTCATGGGTAGGAGGTCTGGCAGCAGACTCAGGTCCTGGGTCTGGAGGGGCCTGCCCGTGGCCCCCAATGCAGCAGGGCTCCCCCTCAGCCTGGGCCAGCAGCTCCAGGCGGCACACAGGCACGTGCTCACTGGCAAAGCGGGGCGCCAGCAGCTCAAGCGTGGCCAGGTACCTGACCATGATGAGCTGCTGGGAGAGGTGGCCCGGCTGGAAGGCCTGCAGGAACCTGTGGAAGATGCTGCGCAGGCGCAGGCGCGTCAGTGCGTTGTGCTGCTGGATCTGCTGCCGGAAGGAGCGTGGAATGCACTCCTTGAAGCTGTGGGGATGATGCGGGAGGGTCAGTCAGGGGCTGGGCTGGGGGCCTGGCTGGGGGACGTGGGGCAAGTGGCTTAAACCTCTCTGAGCCTCAGAGTCTAGGAAACGGGTGCGGCACTGGGAAGGTGGAAAAGAAAGAAGACAACAGAGGGGAACCCAGGGAAGCTGGGGTGGTGTAGGGCCTGGGCTCAGGGCTCTGAGCAGACAGCTGGACTGGACCCGGCTCATGGATGCCTTCCTCAGCTTTAAGGGGCTGTCTCCTCACCTGTCAAATGGGGATCAAACAGTGCCCACCAGAGAGGCTGCTGAATGAAATGAATTAGGACATGCAAAGTGCCCAGGACACTGCTCAGCTTTACTAAGGAGCATGTGAGTGCCAGGCAGAGTCCCTGGGCGCTGCCAATGGTTAATACGCTTGGCTGCTGACTGAAAGGTTAGAGGTTCAAGTCCACCCAGAGGCACCTAGGAAGAAAGGCCTGGAGATCTGCTTCCACAAAATCAGCCACTGAAAATCCTATGGAGCAGAATTCCACTCTGACACACATGGGGTCACCAAGAGTTGAAATCAACTTGACAGCAGTTGGTTGGTTGCTCCTTTTGATAGCATGACAAGGACTAGAAGATACATCCGGAAAGACCAGCTCCTATGCTGCCTCCTCCAGGCAGAGTGCTCTGATGGTTCCAGCCCTTGCTGCAATGCAGGGATCCACAGTGGCTGTGTGTGGAGGTGACTGTGGCTGGCTGCCAGCTCCCTGGACTCCTGCCTCCTTCCTGCCCTCGAATTCTAATGTTCCTGCCCTCGAGTTCTCAAAATCAGTGGGCCCTGAGATCTCCCCACACTTCTTTCCGCTCTCCCTCTAGTTCACTCTGCTCCAGCCACACTGGCCTCCACCATACCAGGCAGGAGTTCAGCCTCAAGGTCTTTGCACTAGCTGTTCCCTCTGCATAGAATGCTCTTCTCCAGACACCCACATGACTCCCTCCTTTACTTTCTTCAAATCTTTGCTTGAATGTCACCTTCTCAGTGAGGACTAACCCAACTCCTCTTCACCTGACACTCTCTACCCCTCCTTCCTGCTTAACTTCCTCCCTGTGCACTTCTTACCATCTGAAACCCTATACATCTGATTCTTGCCTTCTTTAATCACCTCTCTCCTCTATGAGATGGGAGTTACAGGAGGCCAGAGCTTTTTGTCTGACTTGCTTGCTGTTGTGGCCTCAACATCTAGAACCTGTGCCAGCCCACAGCAGGTGCTCAATACATGTCTGTGCAATAAAAGCATGGCAGGATGTGAGGTCTCCCCTGACTGCAGATGCCTGGGATATTTCCACCCCCCATGCAATACCCTTGCCCCATTCCCAGACACCTGATCTTCTTGGCCACCTCATCCAGGGGGACGCCACGGCGAAGAGCGAGGTGGCAGAGGTGCAGAAAAGCCATGCCCAGGCTCTCATTCTTAAAGTGGTGCATCTCCTCCTCACTTGACAGCTCCCACAGTGAGGCCACATCATTCACAAACTCATGCTTGCCCTGGGGGTGAGGGGTTCGGCAGAAAGGGAGGCATGAGAACACATTCACTGCCCTTTGGGACACCCTGGGGAGGGGAGGAGCAACCGATTGTTGGAAAAGGGCAAACACACAGCATGCACACCTCTCTGCCCAATTCTGTGCCTGTGGCAGACATCACTAATCAATCACAGAACTCCTTCCCATGTAACCCTTAGAGTCCCAGAACAGGTAAAGAATCCCAGATGGTATAAATTGAAATCTATTGTCAATACTGAATTGGGAAGGGAAGTAGGAGTTCCTTAACTGCTCCTGAGACCCCCGCAAATTTTCCCACCCCCCAAGTCCTCCTGCTCATACCTGCTCAAAGATGTACTCAAAGGAGGCCGGGTCTAGGAATTGCAGTCCCTGCTCTGCTTGATCTGAGGAAGTCTCAGCCCCGGGGGGACCATAACGATACACAGTCGGCTCCTGAGGATTCATGCCATGCCAGTTCCGGAAATAAAACCTGCAGGCAGGGATGGGGCACAGCTGCCCTGCTGCCCCCACAGCCACTGCCCAGGCAATGGGGCCAGTGGTTGAGTGTGGCCTCAGCTAAGGGCCAGAACGGCAGGTGGCAGAACAAAAGGGACAAGTTTTCCAAGGGATCTCTGCCTACCTCATGCGAAAGTACAGGATCAGGCTGCTGTCTCTGGGGACCTCAAGGATGTGGTTTGGGGGCAGCCAGACTTGGGCCTGGGCATTGAACAGTGCAAACAGATTGAAGCAGAATGGAGTGATGCCTGGAACAGGGGAAAAACAAGGGGAGGAGTCAAGTCTCCTGTTGCCATGAGCACTATGAGCCCCCAGACTCACCATCTCCCTTCACACACCCTCCCTGGACTCCTCCCCTGCCTACAGATTCAGTCTTACATTGCTCGTGGGACAGAAGACAATACAATGTGTTGACCATGCTATGGCCTCACAGGAAGACTACATTTCCCAGCCTTCCTCGTAGCTAGGATGGGTCCACTGGACTGGTTTCTGGCCAGTGGGATGAGGGGAGAAAGGATGTGCACATTTCTAGGCCAACCAATATGCCTTGCTGCCATCTTCTCTGGCCCAGGAATGGTAGAGACCCCTCATGCCAGGCAGCAAAGTTACAAGAGATGAACCACCTGCCCCATATTAGATTTTATTTAGGTACAGGTTATGGATTGAACCGTGTCCCCAAAAAATATGTGTTGTAAATTTTAACCCCTATACCTGTGGTAGGAGCTCTAGTGGTGTAGTGCCTAAGGCAACTTGACTGCTAACCAGAAGGCTGGCAGTTCAAAACCCACCAGCCACTCCTCGGAAGGCTGGGCAATCTATTTCCGTAGTGATATCGCCTCAGAAACCCAAGGAGAGGTCGCTATGAATAGGGTCCGACTTGAGGGCACATAACAGCAACAACAACAACAACATATGTGTGGTTACAGTCTCATTGAGAATGTTTTTTCTTTGTTATGTTAATAAGGAAATACTAACGTAGGGTATATCTTAAATCAATGTCTTTTGAGATACAAAAGAGCAGATTAAGCAAGGAGTGATGGGGGAAAACAGACGCCAAGCCTCATAAAGATGACTGAGGAACTGAAGCTGAAAAGAAACAAGGACTTTCCTTTAGACCCAACAGAGAGAAAGCCTTCCCCTAGAGCTGGTGCCCTCAATTTGGACTTCTAGCCTTGTGAGAAAATAAATGTGTCTGTTACAGCCATGGATTGTCATATTTATATAGCACCACTAGATAACTAAGACAGTACATCTTGACTGTCTTAAACCAGGAAAATTGGCCGTGCTTGTTACTGCAGCAAAACCTATCTGAGGCTGACTAATAAGACTCACAAAGCACTAGCATGTTTGCTGGTCTCTCCCTGACCTCTAGCCCTGGAGAAATTTCTAATACCTCCCAACTACCTCTTCTTAGACATCACAGGCCCCCACAGATGGACGTAGTTCCAAACATCTCATCTACTGTCCCCAGACCTCCTTTCCTCTGCTCTGCCCAGTTCTTCAAGCCAGAAACTTGCTCCTTGTCCTCTATTCTTCCTAGCCCCTCTGCACCAGCTCGGTCACTGAGTCCTGCTCTTCTGCATCCTCCATCTCTCTGGTATCCATCTATTTCCTTAAATCCAAAGCCTGGCTGCGGTCAAGCCTCCTTGCTGATCTCCCAGCATCCAGGCTTGCCGTCATTCCCACGCCAGCCACCTAAAGCTTCGTTCTTTATTTACAAGATTTATTTAAAGTAGTTCATTCAGAATAATTTATAAACACCCATATACCAGCCACCAGATAAAGACAACTTTGCAAATACAATTGGAAACCCTTGCCTACATTGTCCCCTTTCCTCCTCCCCCGCAAGAGAGGTAATCACACACCTGAGCTATTGTTTCTCAGTTTTGTATCCTCTAGATCTAGTCAGTTTGTCAGACTGTGGTGGCTTGTGTGTTGCTGTGATACTGGAAGCCACTGGTATCACAAATGCCACTGGTGTATCAAACACCATCAGGGTCACTCAAGCTGAAGAGGTTTCAGTGGAGCTTCCAGACTAAGATAGACTAGGAAGAAAGGCCTGGAGACCTACTTCTGAATATCAGCCAATGAAAGCCCTATACAAGCACACCTCGTTTTACTGTGCTTCACAGATACTTCGTTTTTACAAATTGAAGGTTTGTGGCAACTCTACGTCAATCAAGTCTCCTGGTGCTACTTTTCCAATAGCATGTGTTTATGACATGTCTGTGGTTACGTTTTAGTAATTCTCACAATATTTCAAAAACTTTTTCATAATGCTACTGGACACTTAACAAACTCATAGCAACCCTACAGGACAGAGCAGAACTGCCCTATAGGGTGTGCAAGGCTGTAATCTTTATAGAAGCAGACTGCTACAGCTTTCTTCTGCGGTGCTAGTGGGTTTGAACCGCCAACCTTTCAGTTAGCTGCCAACTGCTTAACCACTAGGCAACCAGGGTTCTTTTCAGTTCAGTTAGATGATGTCAAACTGCTCTCCAGAGTTGCTGCATGTGACTTTACTGTTCCCCTGAAGAGAATGTCTCCTTTGTAACAGAGCTTCCTAAAGAACCAATTTCACTCTCTGCCTTAAACCTTCCATGGGGCATAACATACTACACAAAAACATTGTTCTACATCTTACTTTGGTGAGTAGTGAATGGGGTCTTCAAAGCTTGTAAGCAGCCATCTAGATGCAACAATGGTTCTCTCCTCATCCAGAGCAAAGAAGAATGAACAAAACCAAAGATGCATGGAAACAATTAGTCCAAAGGATTAGTGGACCATGTGAATCTCAGCCTACATGACCATGAGCCCAGAAGAACTAGATGGTGCCCGGCTACCACTGTCAACCACTCAGAAAGAGATCAGTGCAGGAGATCCTGGATAGAGTGGGAGAACAATGTGGAACAAAACTCAAAATTATAAAAAAGAGCAGGCTTACTGGTCTAATAGAGCCTGATGAAAGCCCTGAGACTATGGCCTCTAGTCACCCTTCAGGTCTGGAATTGAATTCACTCCAGTGGCCTCCAGTCAAAGTAATAGACAGGCATAAGGGGTGAACAATCACACCATGTAGATACACTCCTTATAACAACCAATCATGGGAGAACAGAAGGGCAGTACTTGCACAGGGAGACAGCTCAGGGGGCAGGAATGCATAGGAAAGAAATACACAGGGAAAAAGTAACTACAGGGAGGATATGCGAAGAGAGCTATTACATTGTGTGAAATTGCAGTCAATGTCATTAAAATGTGTATGAACTGCTGTATGGAAAATGAATTTACCCTGAAAACTTTCACCCAAATTACAATAAAAATTAAAAAACAAAACCACCTTCCATGGGTCCCCACTGCCCCTTGAGAAAGCTCAATCCCCTCAGTAGAGAGTAACTGTGATCTGTCCCCTGCAAGTTATGTCTGGTTTCAGTTCTTACTTCCTCCTCTAAACTCTCAAAACTGATACTCCAGTCACTCTGAAAATCTTCCACTTCCTCAAACACCACATGCTCTCTGTGCCATTTACACCTGCAGGTCTCTCTGCTTGGCAAATTATCATATCATCGGACAGACCCGTCAAGTGTTTTAAGACCAGCCTTTGATGGGAAAGTACAAAACAGTGTGGAATCCAATGGAGAGCCCTGAGGACTTTCCGGCCTGAGCACATCTACTGCAGGCTCGCTAAGCCCTTCCGTGCTGCTGGTTACCCACTCGCCCTCAGGAGAATGTTTAGACCCTAAACTCCTCAACTATTGGTCTCCACTCATCCGGAGCAAAAGAGAATGAAGGAAACCAAAGACTCAAAGAAGAAAGTAGTCGATGGGAGTTAATAGCCCACGTGAATCATGGCCTTTTCCAGCCTAAGACCAGAAGAACTAGATGGTGCCCAGTGATCACTCTCCATGGACACAATAAAAGGTCGAGGACAGAACGGGAAAAAATGTAGAAAACTCAAATTCCTAAAGAGGCCAGACTTACTGGATTGACAGAGACTAGAGGAACCCCTGAGATGATCATCCTAAAATACCCTTTGAACCTGGAACTGAAGCCACTCCAGGAGGTCACCTTTCAGCCAAATAAATAGATTGGCTTATAAAATAAGTAATATCACCCATGAGGAATGTGCTTCCTTACGCAATCAACTACATGAGACCAACTGGTCAACATTCAGCCAAAAGCAAAGATGAGAAGGAAGGAAGGGCAGGGAAGCTAGCCCAATGGAAACAACAAATAGAATATAAATAATGAGAATGCTGACATACTGTGAAAAGTATAACCAATGTCACAGACTAACTGTGTAAACTTGTATAAAAATTGTTACATGGGAACCTCATTTGCTGAGTAAACTTTCACCTAAAATGCAATATAGTATTTTTTAAAACTACAATGAAATACAAGCTCTAAATTCCTCTCTCTGGCATTTAAAGCATTGTAAGATGCACAGTTCTCCCCCTCTTTGTCCCACCTGGAGGTGGCCTCCACCCTGGTCCCCCAGCTCCCATCCTCGCCCCTCACAATCGGTTCTCCTCATAGCAGCCATCAGAGTCTGCGAGCACCTGAGTCAGGGTCCTTCCCTCTTCTGCTCAGAGCCTTGTGACCGTCACTTCATTCAGAGCAAAAGCCAAAGTCCTCTCCATGGCCCACAGGGCCCCACACAACCCGCTCACCCCTCCCTGCCCTCACCTCTTCTTATCTCTCCCTCACTCTTTGCTCCAGCCACCCCAGAGCCTTTGCACTGGCTGTTCCCCCTTCCTGGCACCCTCTTTCCCCAGGTATCTCCATAGCTCCCTTCCTCACTTCCTTATATTTTTGTTCAAATATCACCTTCTCAGGGAGGTCTTCCTGACTTTCCCCAGACCCCACGTTTCCCTCTGCTGTTGAGTTTTCTCCACAGCACTGGCCTCCTGCATGGTTTTCTTATTTATTGTGTTTCATGTTGTATTCCGCACTAGAACATCAGCTCTACAAAAGCAGGGATTTGGGGCAGTATACAGTAGGTGCTCACGCAATGTCTGCTAAATGAACTGACAGACGGATGGATGGGGCCCAGCTGTTGCCTGCGCTGTACCCCCCCCCCACTCTCACCGATTTTGTGGGCGATAGAGATGCAGATCTCCTCAGCTGTCAGCGAGGCTTCACTGAAGGTGACCCAGGGCTCCCCGCCGTCAGGCCCAGCCCAGTGCAGAAGCACCCTCAGGCCTCCCTTGGCAACCAGGGGCTGAGCTCCGTCTCCATTGGGCTTACTGCCCCGGATGGTGGCGCCCCACTGGCACAGTGGCATGCTGCAGACAGTGGCTCTGCTGGAAGAGGGCAGCTCTGAAGATGAAGTGGGGGTGAGGTCTATCCTGACCCCCTCCCGACACCAAGGCCTCAGCCCGGAGGCCCCCGTAGCACCTCAACCTTCTACCTCTCCCGGCCCAGGCTGAGGCTCTGAGAAGATTCCACCATCCTCAAAAACCCCCACGACCACACCACACCCTCTGCCACAGAGCTGATTCTGCCTCACAGCAACCTCGTAGGACAGACTAGAACTGCCCTAGAGGGTTCCCAAGGCTGTGACCTTTACGGAAGCAGATGTCTCATCTTTCTCCTGCAGAGAGGCTAGTGGATTTGAACCGCTGACCTTTTCAAACCAGCAGCCAGTGCTCCACCACTGCACTACCAGGGCTCCCCCTGTGACCTTAGGCACTCAATGTCCTCCCCTAGCCTGGGTTTGTGCATCTATTCAAGGGGCTTGGGACACATCAGCTCACCTATCCACACTCAGGAACGTGAAACACAGAACCCCGACCACTCCCACCTTTGGCGATGTGTACCAATATAAAAATCCCCTTTGGCCCCACCTCCCCCAACCAAGCAAGTAAGTGCAGTCAACGAACCCAGGGCGAGTCCTGCAGGTCCCTGTGTCAGCTCAGGTAAGTCACTTAGTCACTCTGGGCCTCAGTTTCCCCAACGGGAAAACGGAGATGCTGAGAGGGTTGCCATCAAAAGACAGCTGTGACAATTCCAGGTAATTCTGCATGTTACTCGTTCAGCACAGGCCTTGGTACACACATGGAAAAAATGACAGATGCAGTGAAAACAAGAACAGAAGCGCTATCATTAGTTTCAGGATCACCATCTCTTTTCTCTCAGGCCAAGGTTCCCGCCTCCCACATCTACCTCCATGAGAGACCCCAGATTCTCTGAACTCATGGAGCTGGAGAGGTGGTATCCAGCTGTCCCCAACCTAGCCTCAGGGCCTACTAGAGAGCAGAGCCCAGGGCTTCCAAGGCCCCCAATATGTCCAGGGAAGTCAGCAATCCCACCCACTACGCACCTAACTGAAGACAAACAGTGATGGGAAGTTGAAAATGCAGTAACAGCCCAATGTCAGGTTCTTTCAGAATCTGCTCCAGGCTGAGCCTGTTTCTGCATCTGGAAGCTGGGAAACAACAGCGTAGCCCAAAGAATTGTTGGGAGCATTCAATGACTTGCATCGGGAAGAATGCCTAGCACTGGGCCTATTACTATCAAAAGGGGCTCTGGTGGCAGGGTAGTGCCTTAAGGCATTTGGCTGCTAACCAGAATGCTGGTGGTTCAAACCCACCAGCTGCTCCGTGGAAGGAAGATGGGGCAATCTACTTCTGTAAAGATTTACAGCCTCATAAAACCTATGAGTCGGGGCCTACTCGAGGGCACATAACAACAACAACAACAACAACAAACCCAATGGAGGTCACTATAAGTCAAATCCACTAGATGGCATTTAATTTTTTTGTTTTGTTTTGTTTTTTAATATTATCATCGTCTAAAAGGAAGATACTGGAGGTGGGGCTTCTAGGGTGCTGTGTCCCCTCCTTCCTCGTCTCCACTGGACCTTGAGCCAGCTCTGAGGATGGGGTCGGGTCAGGTCTGTCCCGACCCCTCTCCGCACCAAGATCTTCAAACTCGCTGGCAAGCGGCGGGAACTTCAACCCGCACACACCCATCATCGGGCCAATGCCAACCCAGCGGGTGCTTCCACGGTACCCACTGCCCCCCAAGCGCAGCCAATCCCCATGTCTCCCGTCTAGTGTAGCCCTTCCTGACCACCTCCGGAAGCGCCCCTTCCGCAACAAAACAAAACAACTCAACCCTCTGTCATCCAGTCTATTCCGACTCAAAGCGACGCTACAGGACAGAGCAGAACTGTCCCAATAGGGTTTCCAAGTGTAAAACTTTATAGAAGCAGATTGCCACATCTTTCTCCCTCAGAACGGCTGGTGGATTCCAATCAAAATTACTGTTGCTCCTATCCCTTCTATGCCTCCCTTCAAACTCACCTTCCCCTAGATCCCAATCGCAGGGTTCGAACTCAGACCCGGTATAGCCGCCGCGGGCACTTGCCTGCCGCTCCCCGCGGAGACACCGCCTCCCATTGGCCACCTGAAACGGGCACACCCATTGGCCATCACCTTTGTCTCCTCCTCCCCTCCTTCCGTTGCGTGTCTCCATTGGTCTTTTTTGTCGTAACAGGGACTCTCTGATTGATCCTTTGCCTCATTCGTTTCTCAGTCGCGATTGGCTAGGTCGGCACCCGGAAGATCCATTGTCTCATCGATTGGTTATAGGGGCGGAAGAAGAATAGGAGGAGGTGGCTCGCATAGATAGGCGGCGGAGCAAGGTCTGTGCCCCTCGAGGCATCAATAAGACTTCCGGACCTCAACCTTGTTCGCGATGCTTGCGCTCATCTACACGGTGAAGGCTGTAGCTGGCCGGTATTCAGTCCTCCAATTCCCTACCATGTGGCTCCCCTTTCCATCCTGTCCCGCCTCTCTACCGTAGTCTCTGCTCGACCAACCCCACTTGGTTGGCTGAGAAACCTCTCCCGCCTTTAGAAACCATTTGCGGCCCACTGTCCACATTTCTTTCTTGATTACCTGCAGACTCTCCCTTGTTATCAAGGTGGAGGTGGTTGTTTATAGGTGTCCTCGACTCGGTTCCACCTCATGACCCTATGTTCAACAGAAGGAAACACTGGTTCTTCTCTATCCCCAAAATCGTTGCAGTTTGAGCCCAAGTTTGCAGCCACAGTGTCAATCCATCTCGTTGAGCACGTTCCCCTTTTTCATTGACCCTCCACTTTATCAAGCATGATATCCTTCTCCAGGGAATGGTCCTTTCTGACACCATGACCAAAGTAGGTGAGATGAAGTCCCGCCATTTTCGCTTCCAAGGAGCATTCCGGCTGCACTTCTCGCAAGGTAGATTCGTTCCTTCTGGCAGTCCATGGTACTTTCAGTGTTCTCTGCCAACACTACAACTCAAAAGCCTCAACTCTTCTTTGCACCTCCTTATTCCTTGTCCGGCTTTCACATGCATATGAGGCTACTGAAAATACTATGGCTTGGGTTAAAACAAACAAACAAAAAACTCACTGCTGTCCAGTGGATCCCACTCATAGCAAATCCTCCTTGGGTTTCTGAGGTGGTATCACTATGACAATAGATTGCCCAATCTGCCTTCTGAGGTATGGCTGGTGGTTTTGAACCGCCAACCTTCTGGTTAGCAGTCAAATGCCTTAGGCACTACACCACCAGAGCTCCCCGCCTAACCCAAGCCACAGTATTTTCAATCCCCTCATATGCATGTGAAAGCTGGACAGTGAATAAAGAAGACCAAAGAAGAGTTGATGCTTTTGAGTTGTGGTGTTGGCGAAGAATGCTGAAAGTACCGTGGACTGCCAGAAGAGCTACCCTATCTGTCCTGGAGGAAGTGCAGCCGGAATGCTCCTTGGAAGTGAGAATGGCCAGACTTGGTCTGACCTATGTGTCATGATGTCAGAAGGGACCATTTCCTGGAGAAGGATAAGGAGACTGCTCCTCTCTGAGTCTTGAGAAAATACAGAGGAAGAACAGACCCTCCCTGGAAGGGTGACATTAGTGTGAAGATGGTAGAGACTTAGCCTGCCACCTGGCTCATAGTGAGCACTGGGGACCTGGGGGCTGGCAATGAGCAGAGTGGTCCATCTGGGCAAGGGAATAAAGTGCCACTGGAAAGAGAGTGGGAATTCTGTCCGAACTGATAAGGAGAAATTCTCCAGAGAGTATCTAGGTTATATGTTTTTAAATAAATTAATAATTTCAAAATAAGGAACTCTGGTAGCACAATGCCTAAGGCATCTGACTGCTAACCAGAAGGTTGGTGGTTCAAATCCACCAGCCACTTCGCAGAAGCAAGACTGGGCAATCTACTTCTGTAAAGATTTACTACCTTGGAAACCCTATGGGGGTCTCTATGAGTCGGAATTGACTCCATGGTAGTGGGTTTGGTTTTGTTGCTGTTGTTCTTGCTTAGGCCATCTCTAAAATGATTCAAGAGAAAAATGGATATCTCATGGTCCTTGACTTCCTCCTTCCTCTCACACTTACCTCTGGTTCATCTGTAAATTCTGTGGGCCTTGAAATCTGCCTGCTTCTCACTTCTTCTGGTCCAGCTCCATCATCACTCACCTCTGCCCTGGTTCCCTGCTCCTGCCCTTAACCCCCACAGTCCACCTTGCATCCACCAGAGGGAACCTGTGAACAACTGAGTCAGATCACGGTCCCCTTTACTCTGAACACTCCTTGGCTCCCACCTCACTTGGAGTAAAAGCCCAAATCCTCCCAACAGGCCCTGCATGATCTGCACCATCTCCCCGTGCCCTCCGTGTGGGTCTTCTCAATGCTCCTCCAACACATCTTGCCTCAGGACCTTTCTATTGGCTGTTTCTTCTGCCTGAAACATGCTGTTGTTGTCAAAGGCTATGGGGTCTGCCACCAACGCCATGGTTGTGCAACTCCCCATGCACAACGAGCTCTGAAGGTTGTGATCCATAAAATCTTCATGGGCTGATTTTTTTTTTTAATTGTGATTGGGTGAAAGTTTACAGAGTAAATTCACTTCCCACACAGCAGCTCACATACACTATCTCATGACATTGACTGCAGTTTCCCACATTGCAACAGCTCCCCTCCCACTTCCTCCTCATAGCTACCTTTTTCCTGTGTCCTTCCCTCCCATGCACTCGTGCGCCCTGAGCTGTCTCCCTGTGCATACACAGCCCTTCCATTCTCCCATGATTGATCTCTCCAAGGAGTGTATCTACCTAATGTAAATGTTCAGCTCATATGCCTGTCTTTTGTTTGGCTGGAAGCCACAGGAGTGGGTTCAGTTCATGGGCTGATTTTCAAAACTGGATTACTAGGCCTTTCTTCCTAGTCTATCTTACTGGAAACTCTGTGGCAGCCTGTTGAGCATCACAGCGATGTGTAAGCCTCC